GCGGGCGCACCGCTCACGCGCCGGTTGTCCTACGCGTCTGAGTGCCTCTTGCTATGGGAATTCGCCTATATACTTCTGCTCCTTTCAGACGTTCCATCAGTCGTCTCCCACTCGGCTAGCCGGTATCGGCGTGTGCTCGGTGTCTCGTTTTTGGTCCAGTCCTGCTCGTGGGTGGCGACAACTCGTGGTCATGCACCACTCAGCCGTGATTTGGCTTTCCCGCACTCTGTCGCTCTAATCTTATTGACATGCTCATGCATCAGCTGCACGTTACGTTATCCTGTTCTAGTAGGTTCCATTGCGGGCACGTATCTTCGTACGGGTACACCGCTCACACTACCGCACTCACACTTGGCTGCAATGCTTTCTAGCCTATGACACTTGCTTGCCTATGCGCACTGCTAGTGTACTGTCATCCAGTCTCAGCACCTACGGTACGTCACGCACGCGCCAATCTATCCCGTGTGCTCTACCTAAGACATGCTGCTATCAGTCTGCTAGTTGTACCGGTCAGCGAGCTTCCGAGCCCTACGGTACGTCTCGCACTTGCATCTCCCGCTCACTCTAACCCTCTTACCTAAGACAGTGCTTGCTATCCACTCTGCTAGTTGTAACCTGTCAAAGTTCCCACACCTACGGTACGCAGCACAACCTTCTCACTCACCTGTGTCGCCGCTACCTAGACATGCTGCCTCAGCTGCTTAGGTACCTTCAGACGCTTCCACACTCGTACGGTACCTCCACACACCGCACACGCTGTGCTCTAAACTAGACAAATGCTTGCTATCCGACCTGCTGGGTAGTACCGTGTCAGAGTGTGCACCACCCTACGGTACAGCACACACCGCACACCTGTGGCTCTACCTAAGCAGTGCTGCTATCTACGCAGCTAGTTGTATCCTGTCAGAAGTTTCCACACCTAACGGTACGTTGCACCACTACATCTCGGTGGCCTCTCGCTCTCCGTCTCCGGCCCCTCGCGCCCCTCGTCCCGTGTCCCTCTCACGACTTCTGTCTCTACCTAGATGGCCATGCTTCTTGCTTATCCACACTCTGCTCAGTTGTAACCTGTCCAGAGTTTCCACACCTACGGTAAACGAAACCGCACTCACTGTGCTCTACGCTAACATGCTTGCTACTCCAGCCTGCTAGTTGTACCGTCACGAGTTCCAGCACCCTTATCGGTACGCACACATCGCGGGAGGCTGCTCGGTCCGCCGGTCGGGTGCCCGCACACACTCGTGCTTCTAGCCCTAGACATGCTTGCTATCGGGAACTGGCTAGTGTATCCCGCAGGAGCTTCCACACCTCCGGCTTTCGGTCTGTCCCCACTCTGGTCCTGCTTTTCTCTACCGGATCGCGCATCCCGATCACTCATCTCCTCTGAATCGCCTCGGTCTCCGCCCTCTCTCCTGCACACCGTGCTCTAAGCGCGGGTAGACATGCTTGCTATCCGAGGCTGCTAGTTGTACCGGCAGACGTGTCCACACCCTACCGTACTCTCACACTAACACCGCACTCTCTCCACTGGTTGCTCTACCTCTCGTAGAGCCATGGCTTGCTATCAGCTGCTAGTATGTACCACTCGGCCAGGATTCCTCTCATCCACCTACGCTCGCACACCTTCGTCCACCCGCACACCAGTGTCCTCTACCCTAGACATGCTGCTTCATCACCTCTCAGTTGTACCCGGTCAGGAGCCACACCTTATCGGTACCGTCGCGACACACACCGAAGCACGGCTGTGCTCTACGCCTAGACCAGCTTGCTATCGACCTGCTAGTTTGACCTGTCGAGTTCCACTACCGTACGGAACCACACACGGTGCTCGGGCCCCACGCACCTGTGCCTCTACCGCTAGACATCTTGCTATCACCTGCTAGTTGTAACCTTGTCAGAGTTCCCACCTACCGGGGCAAGCGATACCTGGGTCGCGTGCAGGATGGAATCTATCCCTTGCTTACACCTCAATAATAATATGAACATATATTACTTATAACGGTTAATACAAGATATAACACATATATGGATCTCCTATTCATATGGTTGGCTCCTGCGCCGTCCTCCTTCCTCTTATCCTCCCCCTCCTCCTCCCTCCTCCTCTCTTCCTCAGCGTCTCCTGCCTCCTCCTCCTCCTCGTTCCTCCCTCCCCCCTCCCTCCTCCTCCCTTCCTCCTCCTCTCCCCTGCCTCCCCCCCTCCTCCCCCTCCTCCCCTCCCTTACTCTCCTCCCTCCCCCTCCTTCGCTCTCCTCCCTCTTACGCTCTCTCCCAAATGTACCTTCTGTCCACGAATCTGTCTCGTCGTGCCTCTTCCGTACTCCTCTTACAGCTCAGCGTGCGCTCACGGGACCGCTCGGTCTCGCGTCGCTGCCCGTGGCGACAGGAGCCCGACCACGTCACTTACATCTCCCCCCCTCGCGCGCTCCTCCTCCGCTGCCTCCTCCTCCCTCGCTCCTTCCCTCCCTCCTCCTCCTCCTGCCTCCCTCCTCGTCTCTCCCTCTCCGCCTCCCCTCCCCTCCTCTCCCTCCCGCCCTCTCTTCCTCCTCCTCCTCCCTCGTCCTCTCTATCCTCCACCATGTACTTTCCCACGCTTGTTCTCTATCTTACGGTTCACCGTGCGCGAGACCCGGGACACCAGGAGCCTCTACAACAACTTACATCTCCCCCCTTCTCTGGCTCCCTCTCCTCTCCCGCCCTGCCTCTCCTTCCATCTGCCCCTCTCTCCCTCCTGCCTCTCTTCCTCACTCTCTCTCACTCCTCCCTCTTCTCCCCTGCGCGCATGAGTACCCTCGCGCAATCTGTCTTTACCTTGCACTCGCTTGCCGTGTGAACACATGACACCACTCATTCATATACGACCGAGCCTTATGTTACGTACTTCTCCTTGATCCTCCTCGGCCCAAGCCAGTGGTACCTCGTCATTAGACCCTCGACGCTTAGTTACGACCACAATTTCCGGAAAAGCTTTCCATTCTAGTCGCTTACCAGCTCACCTGCAGATGAGGCGCCCAGATGGTACCCGTGCAGCGATGTGGGCTAGACTACCCTTCCCGTACGGTCACTTTGGAGCAAATCATGCCCATACCTCCCTGGCTACATATACCTCTCTCCTCGCTCCTCTGGCCACTGGCATATTATCTGCATGCTATGCTCGCGCTCCTTCCTGCACGCCTTCCCTCTCCTCCTCCTCTCACCTACGCCCCTCTCTCGCACTCCACGCCTTCGACATAAACATTTCCCCGCCTGAACATCGTCGTCCACGTACGCTCCACTCACCGTGACAATAGGCCTGCGAACACTAATCTCATCCGCGCGGCGATCTGTACTATAACATGCGGAGTTTTGATGGTTGTTCTTCGTAAACTCCCGCTTCTCGTCGTGCGTGGCAGACAGACTGGCGGCTTCTCTTTTTCCGCTATCTGACAGCCTCACAAGCGTGCGCAGCGAGACCCTCGAGCGACAGGAGTCCTTAAATAACCACAACCCTTACAATTCCTTCGCCTCGACGTTCTTCCCTTAGTCTTCCTTACACTGCACTCCGCTCATCTAACTTCTAAGTGTGTCTCTCCTCACTCTATACTCTTAAGTTCCTCCTCCTTTACATTCAGTGTCTCTCCCTCTCTTAGTTCTTTCATACTCTC